ATACAATGTCTTTGTAACTGCACTATGTAATTTAAGCTATTATTTTTTATAACTTTGTACAGTGTTTTGGGCCACAGTTTGTATGAAGGCTACTACACAATGTAGTTACTGTGCTGTATTCTAACCATTTTTTTGCATGTTTTTTCTCTCAAATAGTAACAAAAAATCTTAATTATGTTATGTTATTGCTTGTAAATTAATTTGCAAGACTAAAATGAAATATTTAGACGTCAGTCTTGCAAACTCTTCCACATGAGTTCTCCCACTGATCATGAAGGAGATTGAAAAGATTTAGGCCTGTTTATGGGACACTTTGGCAACTGGCAAAGTAGGCAAATGAAAACAGAGAAGTTTAGAGCAGCTCTCTCAGGTGCACCACTGAAGCTTCCTACCTATGGCAAGAACAAAGGGATACAAAATTACGATAAAAGACAGGACATAACTGTGGCAATGGGTTTTCCTTATCACAGAATAAACATATATGCTCTCTTACCACAGGTTATCCTTGAAGTTGTAAGCCAGATTAGGTAAAACAAATGAACAAAAAGGGTCAATATCCATATATATGTGTGTATGTCAGTAGTATGTATTAGTAAAGATAAAAATATGTAATTGCTGTGAGTCTTCATAGCATAGGGAAAATCACTCCCAAAAGTTGGGATCTGGCATGAACTAGCCTGGCTGAAGCCTGTTTCTTTTAAGTCATCCCTCATTTCACTATGGCTGGGTACTTGCTGTGAAAAGGAAGTTCTATACATCTTTCTCTTGCAGCTCTACTGGCAGCAGAAACCTTAAACAATCTCTTACTGCACTGTGTGGCACTGGGTGTTGAGCCCATCGCTCGGACGCGGCGCCACCATCCCTTTGCCGGTGGATGTGTTGGTGCTGGCACAAGCCTTGAGCTTTCAGTCTGTACAGTCCAGCAGAATCCCAAACCCAGAGTGGCTCCATCTAGCTTTATGGGCTGATTTCAGTAGCAGAGGGGAATGACAGGAAACAGCTTCTAGACCTGGAGGTTCCAGTTGCTGTCCCATCAGCTCCAGTCCCAGGAGGATTTAGTGTGGCTGCTGACCATATTTGGACATGTCTGATCTGCTTGCATCTATTCTGCAGATGTATTCCTGATTCTCATTTGCCTTTTCTGAAACACATCAAGTAGAAGACTGGGATTAGAGAAACATGGATTATTTTAAAAGCCCTGCTGAGTCTCTGAAATTTTGCAGATAGTTATGTACTTGCAGTTATTTCCATCTTGTAGTTTAATACAAGCTAGAAAATCCATACTGCTTTGCTCCCTTCTGCCTATTTCTTCTGCAAGGAATACATGTTAATCAATAAAGAATCTATCCCCACCTTTTCATTACTTCCAGCCTCCTGCCATACTCATATTCTCTTATACACAGGTTATGAACAATTCCACTGTCTCAAATTATTTTAAATGTAATTTAGGTTAGAAAGCTGGAGAGTGACAAATGCCAGAGAGTTTAGAGGGTTTGTTCACCAGAGGCTGCAGTCTCTTGCGACAGCTAACTACAGCTCTAATCTTCATTTGCACTCTCCCAGTCCTGTAACAGATTGCATTTCTCTCACCCTTTCTCTCTCTCTGTGTTATTAATTCTTCACCTTTAAAAAGATTAATACCTTTCAAGAAATGGACTTGTGTGCTGATTCAACTATTCTGAGTGCTAATATATGGAGCCCACAGCACTGAGAGCAGCAGTTTGATATCCACCACCTGATGGACCTTGATGTACAGCCACTGTTATCTCAAGTTTTCATGGTTTGTGAGGCTTAACACTTACCGTACTTGTGTACAAAGGTGCTGCTAGTGGGAATGAAGCAATTGCTTGAGGAGTTAAGAGAACTACAGGATAGTTTTAGATTATTCCTACCTGCTAGTTGTACATTTCCATTTTGAAGGGCTGACCTCAGTAACTGGATTTCTTGTCAACAAAAAATCTTTCAGTGACCTACCTTGGGATCAACACAAATATAAGGTGTGATAAAAGGGAATGGCCAAGGTAAGTGGCAGAACTAGCAGGAATCACTTAAATTTGGCCTGTACCAGAACAGATGATGATGTTGACTTCACAAGGTATCAGCTCTTTCTCATTACATTATGCTATTGCTGATATAGAAGTATTTCAAGTTGTCTGCCACTGATGTCTTACAAGTATGAATTTGATTAAATCCTCATCTTTAAAAGCTGGCATTCAAATATCCTTTAGCAATCTAGCAGTCATGAAAGTAATAATTCTCATTATCACTGATACCTAAATTTGTATGAAATAATGTTTTTGTTAACAAACAACTTAGTGCTGTTATACTCATTTTCATGCCTTGACTGCTCTTATGTTCTTCAGACATTTTATTTTATCATTATTTAATAATTCTAGAAGCTTAAAAGCTTATGCAACTAAAATTTTAAATGAGCAGCTGGAATTTCAGGAAACAGCTTACTAGCACAGGGTAGTTCCAGGATTATTTTAAATTAATATAAAGAGAGCCCAAACTAATGCAACTTCTGAGCAACTTCTCTTCTTTGGCATGTTCCATCTTTTCATCATCCTGGACTGTCTTACACATGCATCTTTCTCTCATTTTAGCCTAACTGTCCTTCACACATCAGTTCTGAGGCCTTGTCTGAATTAGGACAGATGATTTTCAACTCCATCCCACCAGATGTGAACAGATGTATTTTAGCTAGCTGACCTTAATAAGATGTGTATTTCTATACCACCCAGTTCTACACTATGTGAGCTTATTTGAGCTTTAAACGAGCTTCTGCGAGCATGTTGGACTCACTGAGTGCTGGACAGTCATGGGTTGTATATTTCTGGTACTGAACTGCCTCAGATATCCCAACAAACATTGCATTCTGAAGTACAAATATACTACATACTTCAGATTGCATCAGACTTACTTTAAACATGAATTAGCTGGTGGATGTGGTGCCTAAACTGCTCTTTAACTGTCTTTCTGAAATATATATTTAAATCCTAAGCTGTGTATGACTGAATTTGATTTAGCACTTGGTCTTAAACCACAGTTCAGTTTTAAAGTGAGCCAGTAATTGGGTTTTCCTCACAGTGACAGAGGATCTCAGAATTAAGTTTCTCTGACAAATATTGTGGGCATTATATTTTTATAGCATGAAGCCTTACCCTGTTGTCACTGAAGTCAAGGGTATCCATTGATTTTACTGAAGAGTGGAAGCAGCCCCACAGCCAACAGGGCTTTAAGACACAGTTTAGCAGGAATAATTCCTTGGGCAGGTGGCATTGTCCAAAATACTCTTGGCAAAAGGAGCTGATTTAGAAAGCAGCTCAACACTTTTTCTTGGTGATGCAGTATGACATACTTGATAAATGGGTGTGCTATAAGATGAAGTTTGTATGACCCAGAGTTTAAATTAGCTTTAGACCTTTGAAATAAACCAATATTGATACATCTCGAGAGAGAAAAAATTGCCATATTACTGGTTGGCATTTTTGTGAATATATCAGTGCATACATATATGCCCATATAGTGTGTGTAATCACACACATGTACATGCTATACTTCTAGTCTGTTGGGAAGATATCATCTTAGGGTCAGTAGAGGGGGTACTTACCTCTACAAGGCACTTGTCCATGCCTGTACTTTCAGTCTTCTAAGTATCTCTTGAAAGTTCTTGTCTTCAACCCTCTGCCTTACCATGCTGCCTGTGTGGCAAGGATTTCAAAAGAAATTACTGTGTGATGGTAGGAACTGTGTTCTGCTCTATGTGAGTCCTTGTATGGAAACACAGGAGAAAGTTTATCTGAGGCAGTCAGATCTGTTTTATGGGATATGCTCTCTGCTTTTGCTTGGCATACCTCTGAAACCAGCAGGCACAAAGGGCTCTTGGTAATGTCTTCCTGTGGTTGTGAAGGAGCCTGAGCAGGAGTGCTGGCAATGAGGATGCCTGGGCATCACCACCCCTCCATGTGCTATGGCTGAGCATGTTTAACGGTACCTAGCAGCCTTTCTTCCATCGGGTAAACTGAAATTGTTTTTTAAAACCCCAAAATTCTCTTTCCTGGGTTCTTTGGGGTTTTTCTGTTTCCTGTAACAAATGTTGCTTACTTGATTTGTCATTTCTTACTTGCTTTATTTTGGGATTTTTATGTAATAACATAAATACAGTGTTTCAAAGGGAAGTGTTTGATTGATAAAGAAAAAATATATTTTTTCTTACTTATTCTCAAGATTGTGTAAAAGATGTATCGTTTAAAAAGAACCTGGAATTCTGAGTGACACTTCCTGATTGAAGGTGATCTGTTACAGCAGAACAGGCAGGCACTGTGGAAATCCTCGTCACATGATGCTAAAATTTTACACAACTTCAAAAATGATAGGGGACAACCAGAGTCAAGGGGGAATCCATCGGGGTTATTGTATACAAGCCTAGTGCTGGTATCTCTGCTGGGAAAGTGTTCTGGAGAAATATCACTACGTGCTTACTTCTATTTGTGTGTTTGTCAGTGTCTGCTGGACATCGTCAGAGTCAGGATACTTCACTAGATGGATCTTTTATCTGACATGGTTCCATTCTTAAATACCACAAAAAGGAAAAAGCCTGGAGAAATAACCTGATTTTACTGAAATATTAAATGACTTCTTGATTCTTGTCCTCAATGTCAGAATGATGGCAGGATAGACTCCCCTATCTGCTAGACTATGTCTGTCCACAGGGTTCTTGGAAAATCTGAATGATGATTGTATTAGAAATGTGGCTTCTGGAATTGATAAATTGTATTTAGGCCCTAAGAAAGATGGTGTTGCTGGTATGGATAGATATATCACTTTATTTCAATAGCAACCATAAGCCAGAGAGCTATTAGAGCTCTGTTGTTAGACAATACATAGCATTTTCTGTTAAAACTAAGCAGAAGGTAGGCAGTGTTGTCATCTAACACCAGGGCCATTTGTTCACATCTAAGGAACTGCTGTTTTAACTTCATCCCATTCTTTTCCAGGCATGACGTATTGGTGAAATTCTAAGGAGACACCCACTGTAACACCTGGGAGGGGAAGAAGAAACAAGGGTTATTCCTCTACTGCTCAGAGAGAGTCCTAAATGCAGTTGTACAACAGTGGTAACAGACCAAAACAGCATCCTGTGAGGTAGGTGCACCTCTCAATTAGACAGAATGGTCCAAAGAAGATGTGGGTCACTGTCCACTTACCTAAGACTGACAATACCTCCTGTGACCTTCAGCTATAGATTCTTCTTACGTTTGTAGGCCCAGGGAAGGACAGATGCTGGAGAGACAGGGAACTAGCAAATATCTGTAATCTGAGCTGTAAAGAAGAGAGGGAGAAGGACTTGCTGCTGGGAAAGGCTGAAATAACCAAAATATACCACTAAACAACACTTAAAGGCCACAGCAGAAGGAAACCCTTTTCTTCCCATTTTAGCAATTCCCAAGTGTTTAGTAGTAGTTCATTCACTTCATGATAAAAATCAGGAGATTTGAGGTAACACATTTTACAAGGCTTGTTAAAACTTGACAAAAAAAAAAAGTTGGCCTCTAGCACAGCATGTTGCCTGCTGAAAGAAACAAGCATGAGAGGAAGATGGGAAATAGAGCTCCTTGGAGAGGAGAATCTCAAGGGTTTTGCAGATACCAAGTCTCAGTTGAGAAGGACCATGGAGAGGCAAAAAGAGAGATTATGTGATAGCTACGAACCAGGTGTTCTAGGAGGATGAAAGCCTGAGGGACATGCTGATGCCTGCAAGGGCTGGCTAGAGGACACAGTCAGTCAACATTGCTGATAGTAGATGTCTGCTGAGATTAAAAGTATGGAGAAAATCAGATAAAAAGCATATTTAAAATCTGCTATGTAACTGTTACCATATTTTAATGACTTTTTTTTAACCACAGGCAGACTTTATACTGAGCTGGTTCTTACTGGTTTTTGTCATTTTTTTGCATGATTGTTAGAAGTTTGCATTGACACCCTCTAAATTGTAGCTGGATTATGGATAAACAAAATGCTTCTGTTTCTAAGCCTGCTAAACCCTTTAACTTCATAAATATTAGCATTCATCTTTCTGCTGCTCCTTTTGCTCCCACTAGTCTGTGTTTGCATATGTGTAACCACTACACACTCACCAAAATATGCTACCTCAAAAAGTGACTCAGCCCAATAATTGTGCCCTGAGGCATATAGCTGAACATTCACCTCAGAAAAATGAACAATTCTAGTAAGTGAGCTCGTGTGTATCATATACAATCAATCCTCTTCAGAAGACTTAATGCACTTAGAGCAAAATATTATCCTGCCTTGTTGAAGCTCAGTGTACGTTTTTAAAAGTATCTGAGTAACAGCTTTGAGAGGTCTTTTAATATATTCATTGGAAAAAATGGAAATTTTTTGGGGGGAAAGTAGTTTTATTTCCATATATGCAAATAAAAACAAATGTGAAGATTTGAATTTTTAAAAAACCTACAAATTATTCAATCCATTCCAGTCATACTTATGTAGAGTATGTGAGTGATGTATGATATATATGAGAAACTTAGCTGTAAGAATGGTTGTAGTTTTTCGTAAGAAGACTTCTTTGGAGTGCTCATTTGAGACTGAAGACAAACCTCTGGGTTAAGAAACGCATTAAGTGTCTAGTAGGTAGTTCTTTAGAAATTCTGTCCATTCAGAATACATAGTATATAGCATAATGCTCAAGCTTGGCTTATGGCTCCATACAATTTACAAAACAAATAAAGTTTGACCATAAGTGTTATCATACTTCTATAGTTCTGTTTTTGTAGGAACATTAATTTGCCAATCTGTTCTATACATGCATCTATACACATAGGTGTAATTCACTTATATAGGAAATCAACTCTGTGTGCAAGTTTCTTACAAGGTGTTTTTATTCAATAGGTATCAAAGGTTTTTATGAAGGAAGTTAAGTATGATCACTGTCTCTACTTTGCAGGTGGAGAACTGAAATTAAGGAGGGCTTTGTAGATTTGCTGAAGACCTAAAAGTAGTTCTCAACACCAAGTGGTGGTTTTCTGAAAAGCTTTTGACAGTATATGACAAACAATATCCGCTGAACATTTGTTCTCTGGTCTCTCCAAAACTTTGTTAAAAGTGTGCTATTACCCCAGAAAATGCCTATCTACACAGGAGCAGATCTGTAAAGTGTTTGCTGGATTGATGTTAGTTTGTTGAAGTTCAGTTAGAAGTTTTGTAACTGAAGTTAGGGGTGGAAGGCAAACTCCTGTTTTTCACGTGAAGATGTTTACGTCAATCCACAGCAGAGGAGAGGCAACTGGCAATGATAAAATAATAAAATACAGAAATATTTTTAGATTCTGGACTTACTGTAAGTCTTACGCAAAATGAAAACCCTGCACTGTAGTTTGCTTACTTGCTGAACAATATGTATGTTGTCAAATATACACATAGATCAGAAGTGTATATAAGTATGCATATAGATACAAGTGTGTGTATAAAATATATATATGTCTCCATGCACATACTTTATATTTTATGATCCATCCTTTGCTTTCTCTCTTTGTAAGAAATCAAAATCCACATTTTCCTGTTCTTTTCTTGGGCTTCAGTTTTAAAGCAGCCTTCATGGCCATGGGTTCTGCTTTTACAGAATTTTCTATAGTGCCAACTGCAGTTAAGTGTTTATTTGAAAAGCTTAATTGAGACTAGCAAAAAAATCCTTAATACTTTTCAGAAATAATTTTTACTATCACTTTTTATTATTTAAGTGTAATGAGTATGGAACTGTTGAACCTGCAGCACTTGTGGTGATAAAGTTAAAAAACTGCAGATTTTGTCTGCCCTTCAGAGCAGTCGCAGTTTGTTCTGATGAGATCCCATCCAGGAGTTATGAATCAGTTTAGTTTTGTTTGTGAGTAGCCAGTAGTTTTCACACAGATGTGTATAGATGATGGGCTGGACTACTAAACTAGGTCTCAAGGCAGCATCTGCAAGATATGTGGAAATGACTGCTCTAAGTTGCCTTTTCTTTCCTGTCTTGAAGTTGATCTACATCTGTTTGAATCATTACTTATTAAGCTAAGATCAGCAGGTCTTCACAGAAAATGTTCTGCCAGCCAGTGATTTCTGGAATACAACCCTTGCCCTGATTCACAGCCCTGAAGAATGTAAGAGAGGTCGGTTTGGAGGTAGTAAAACCTTCAAACTCTTGGCTGTGATGAGGAAATTTCCCTTTCCCACTGTGGCAGTTTTCTTGCTACTCTGTGTTGTTCAAGCCAGCTGAAAAGCAGCGTGGAATATTGTATATTAGAGTACATTATGCTCTTGAGAAAGTTATCTTCTAGCTGAGATCCAAAACAAAGGGACATTCTAAAATCCAGTAATGAAATTGTGTACCAGGTTTATGTGCACAAATCTTCATAACAAACAGCAAATGGGGAAATTAGTCATAAAAATCCAATTTACTAGTAACGGAGTTTGTGTCTGTAAACTCCTGAGCACCACTTTGAAAATGGCCACTATAATAAAAAGGGAGTAATCAGATTGGATGGAAGCATTGGTAATCAGTTTTTCTAGTAAGCTTTGGTAAGTAATGTTTGTGCTCATGTTCAGTGTATAATAGGGCACTGTACTGGTACAGTCTGGTTTCTAGCAAACAGTTACACTCAGTTGGGTCTGGTTCCTCTGTGTCTTCATTCCAAAAAAAAATGTAAAAAGCAGAACAAGAGCATTACAGTGAAGCAAAGCATGAGGACATTACAAAATTCTGGCAGGTCATCATTAGTAACTGATTGCAATTATAGCCTTTTTTTTTTTTTTTTTGCTTAATTCCTTGTAACCTTCTGGCTAACTTGCTATCTTTTCATGAGCTCCATGGGTGAATAATGTGTGATAGGCAGGCTGGGCACAGGTAAACAGAAAAGACAGGGTGTTCCCCATGGATCAGTGTTGTCTGTGGAAATGTTTATTTTACTTAATGTTACTTATTTTAGTATCAAGGATTTGTTAATGTGCTTCTGAGGATAATCAGTTTGGGCAGAAGTTAGTGGGGGAAAAAAAAAGTAGATTTTAAATGTCAAGTTATATTTATAGAAATTGCAGCTTAGATTACATGTAATTGACAGTGTCCTTTAGATTGACAAGTGAGATAGGATCATCTTATTTTCAATAATCTTTTATGTTTAAGGCATTTCTTTAATGGTTTGGATTGCAGTTTAAAAATAGAAAGCCTGTGCATGTGCTGCTGCTTGCTAGGGTACTGCAAACTTGATTTCTGAGGTTGCTGACAGCTTCTGAAAGATTTAGGAACTGTCAGCAGGAAACATTCCCATAGAATCTGTACTGTGAACTTATTCTGGAAAAACAACATCATTTAGCAGGTAATATATCTGCAATAAAAATACAGTTATGCAATAATGGCTCATTAATATGGTAAATCATAACATGGTCTTTTCTATTCAATTTAAAAAGGAACTTGTGGAGAGAAATAAGTTCCTACTCAGCTAGTTGGTGAACTTGGTTATTTTTGTATATTGTTGTTTTTTAAACTTTCAAATATTTGATTTGTATGGGAGATAACATTTAGTCATGACATTTTATTTCTGCATAAACATATTTCCATTTGGGTTTAGATTAGTACAAGAAGAGTTTTTTCCTTTTTTTCTTTCTTCTTTTTTCCCCCCTTTTTGAATGTGCTAGGAACTGCTGGAGTACTTTATTTGGTATGTAACTGCTAATTTATCCTTTATGTCTTTACGATCTTGTCAGTGCCTCATGTCTTCCGTAGTTTTTCTAATCTAAAATAATCCCAGTGAAATCCTTTGATTGTCTGTTTGGACCTGATCCACTTCTAAAGCAGGAATGTAATGGGCTTTATGGCACTTACTTGGAAGTAATTTATCCAAGAGAGTGAATATAGATACTTCTTTTAATAAGAATATGCTTTATGGTAAGCGGGGACGGCTATTTAGTTAGCCAAAGGGAAAGTAGTTCATGATACAATCTGTTCCAATCATCTTGGACATTAAATGAAAAGTCAGACAAGGTTATTTATGTACATGCACTTTATTTGCAGTTGTTTTGTGTAACCTCTTGGTAGAACTTTACATCATTATCTGGAGAAAAAAAAAAAAAAGTGGATGTGTATTTCT